AGCTGTTTGAATATGAAAAGGGAGAGGCTGGATTGTTGTGAATCTGCTTGATGAAGGAGTGTGATTCATGATGGGACTCATTCACTCAGTAATTCATTCCACAAACACTGAATGCTTGCTTTGTCAGGAGGAAAGAGCCAGAAACAATATGGAGCTTCTCTGGATAAGCACTAAGTGGTCTCTGGGGACCTAAGCAGCTCTGAGGGAGTGAGAGGGATGGGGAGTGCGATGAGTTCATTTCAAGGCTGTTGAATTTGAGTTATGTTCGTTCCTCAAGAGGAGCTGTGTAGTGGATGGTAGGGTCTAGGTCTGGGAGCTGAGCAGAAAGGTCAAGGACCAGTGCTAGCCACTGGGGAAGCGGGGAGGTGGGTGAAGCTCACCCAGGGAGGAGGCGGACAGGTAAGGAGAAGAGAGGTTACATAAAGCTGGTGAGAGGTCATTCTGAAAATCTCTCAATGTCTCTGAGCCAGGGCCAAGGGTACCCGGATAGTGGAGGTGGCATCAGCTGCTGAGTGTGCAAAGGGCTCAGAGCCCAGGCAGAAAACATTCCTCCCAGCACTTGGCCTCCAAACCTCCTGCGTTCAAGGTCTGGGTCTGGTTTTAGTTGTCTAGGAAAGTCTTGGAACTATGGGGGCTTCGACTGGCTTAAAAATATGTAGGGGTCCCCAAGCAAGAGGCTGGGGTAGAGGTTTAGAAAATTAAAGATCTGGGGCGCCTGGGTGCCTCAGTCAGTGAAGCGTCCAACTCCTGATATCATCTCAGGTCATGATCTTGGGGTCTTGAGATCAAGCCCCGTGTTGGGCTCCATGCTGAACCTGGAGCCCACTGGAGATGCTCTCTCCCTCTCCTTCTGCCTCTCGCCCCCTCTCAAATAAATAAATCTTTAAACTGAAAAAAGGAAAAAAAACCCAGATTAATGATCAGCTAGAACTGGAAGGGGACAGCAGGTGGGCCTGGCATTGGGAGCAGAAGTGTTGCCATGTGCAGGTTGAGGGATGTGGGGGCCTCAGGAAGAGGAGGTTTCTGAGTGGGGGTTTCCCCCTAGAGAGTAGGTCTTTGATGTGTCCCATGAGGGCCTGTTGGGCAAAACTGATGGAATTGTTGCCCAAAACTTAGAGAGGGGTTGATGGTGCACCTGCGTGGCTCAGTGGGTTAAGTGTCTGTCTTCAGTACAGGTTGTGATCCCAGGGTCCTGTGATCGAGTCCCACGTCAGCCTCCCTGCATAGCAGGGAGCCTGCGTCTCTGCCCCTCTGCCTACTTGTGCTCTGTGTGTGTGTGTGTGTGTGTGTGTGTGTCAAATAAATAAATAAATAAAATCTTTAAAAAGAGAAATGCTCAGTTAAAACAACAACAACAACAACAACTTAAGAGAAGGGGGGGAGGTTATTCCCAGAGCAGCATGCCACCAAGGTGTTGCTGCCCACCTTCCTAGGTCCCCCGTGCTTTGTGCTTGCTTTGTGCTTCCCAGGGAGGCGTTTCGGTGAACTGGAGGGTTGTGTGGCCTTTGGAGTCCCATTGACCTGGAACCCAGGCCTAGATGTACCACTGAAGGCTGAGTGATCTTTGGGAAATCACTTCTTTGAGCCTCAATGTCCTCATTTCTAAATCGGGGTGTTCATAATATCTTCTTTGTGCTGTAGCTGTGAGCGTTAGAAAGAATGTACATCTTCTCGTACATAGCATAGCCGCCATTATTTCTATTCACGATGCCACATAGGAACAGGCTAGCCTCAGGGATTGCGGAGTTGGACTCTCTTCCAGGGATTTGTTGCCGGTTGGGACAAGGAGCTGAAATCTAAGACTTTGCTCACCATCCTATCACGTACATTTGGCAAAGGCGCCCTGCGAGCAGATAACTGTGAAAACCGGTTCTCCATTTCCACTGTGCATAACCATTCTCCCCCTTTGCTGGCCATTTCAGCACATAAAGAAAAGCATTTCACAAACCTTCTTGCCGGTGGTGATATATGGACAACAGATTGAGAAACCATTAGAGAGGCAGGGGTTAAAAGACAATTGTGAAACGCTGGATTTAAAAAAAAAAAAAAACAACCAAAAACACTTCCCCTCCTCTGTCCCCACCTCCCTTACCAGCAGCCTGGGGTTCTTATTGCTCACTCTTGTGCCATGTTTTATAACCATTCAAAGCCTGTTCACACATTTGATTTCATCTGCGCCTCCCTTAGGCCTGTGAGGTAAGTAGGGCAGAGGCTGCCTGCGTCAGGAAGGGGCAAAGGGAATGACAGAGATAAGATTAGAACCCACATCTCCTGGTCATGGCATATGAGTGATCTGTGCCAGGTTAAGCCGCGCTTTCCACGAATGCGTTAAAAACAAACAGTGAGGAAACGATGCGCAGGCATCAGCAGGCGTCTGGGAGCTGTTTGGGCGCGGAGAACAAGGGGAGCAAATACCATCTTGCCCTAGAGCATCCCACAGAGTTGGGTGGCTGTGTGTCTTGTGTGTGAGAGGGAAGCTGGAGGTTCGGAGGAAGCAGGGGAAGACTGTGGAGCTGGGGCGGGGTGCATACAGAGAGGTGGATTTAGTTCCAAAAGTCTCCCCCTGTGCGGGTAGTTTGAGAGGAGTGACCTGGGTGACCAGGTTGGCCTGGGGTCACTCTGCTCCAGAGCCAGGCTCAGGACTCTTGACACCAACCTCTTGGGCTTGCGATCGGCTCATTGAGTCCCCTGCCCCTGTCTTTCTCACAAGGACCTCCGGAGGAACAGGAGTGGAAGGGACAGACCGCTGCAGATCGGGCCTGAAAAGACAGTGCTCAGCATTCACCTTTTCAGACTCGATGTGGCCTCCACGGGAGCGCTATTGAGGGCAAACGTTTTTGGCGACACTGATGGGTTTGACCCCTTGGCTTACAAGCTGTGTGGCTGAGCCACTTTTTCCCCCTCCCCGAGCCCGCTTCCTTCTTCGTAAAGTGATAAGACCTCATCTCCGGTGTGACAGGTGGTTAGGATGAAATAAGCAGCATTTGTGAAGAAAAGTGTTCGGTAGACTAAGAAGCAATATTATGATCTGGGGCACTCACCTCCGGGAGTCCGCCAAACCCAGCTCTCTCTAGGACCCAGAGAGACCCAGCCGCGGTGGGAGTAGAGAAGGTGGTTCTTTTTTGGGCTGACTGTGCCTTGGAGGAAAATGGAGGAAGATGGGCTTGCTCACCGCCTCTGTCTTCCTATCCCCCAGCCGAGGGGGGAGATGGCGGGGGAGCTGGCATAACCTTTTCTGTGGTGAGTCAGCCAAGAAGGAATTTCTAGAGCCCTGATGATGTATAAGTGGTGGTTCGGTTTGGGAGTTTTAAAGCTGCTCCCTCCCTCTTCAGCAGCTTTGAGACACACAAGAGCACTCAGGGAAGCGAATGGAAAATGGACCAAAGCCCAGCTTACTAGTGTGAACTTGAGGAAATCAGCTTCCCGGGGCCTGTTTTCTCTTCTGTGAAGTGGGGACGGTGCTACCTGTTTACGCAGGGTCATTGCACCTGTCCATTTCATTGCCCTTCCTCGAGGAGCAGGTCCGAGAAATCCTATCGCCCAAGGTCACACAGCTTGCAATTTGTAGAAGTCAGGATTCAAACCCACCTCCTCTGGGTTACCTCTTAGGTATCAGAATGTGTGAGGGGGCTTTATGGAGCTGGATTTTCTGGAAGGCCCATCTGTAAATAGATTCGGACCAAGGGGGCAACCCCAACCTGGCCCATTTTGAGAATGAACTCAGGATGGAGTATCAAGGGCAGGAAATAGGCCATCCCTACAGGAAACCTGGCAGTAATTGGAAGAGAGCTAAAAATGAACGTTTGCTTCCCAAATCCTTGGGGGAACTTAATCTGTGCTCTAACGGTTTCAGGAGCTTTATGTTTCGAGGGTGAGGGGAGTCCCTTATTAAACAGTGTACGAATAGAGGACTGGTGGTCTTCTGTCCTCTCTCACTAAACTCGACCTCCTCTTACTCATCTCCTGACAGCCCTCCACTCTACCACCCCTTAAACAAGAGGGACTTGAGTCTCCTGTTCAAACCTAAGCTAGACTGCAGAGGCCAGAATAGGAAGGCTGAGTCATCTTCCTCTTAAAATCTAAGGGGCGCCTGGGTGGCTCAGCTGGTTGGGCATCTGCCTTCGGCTCAGGTCATATCTTGGGGTCCTGGGATCAAGCCCTGCAACAGGGAATCTGCTTGTCCCTCTCCCGCTGCCCCTCCCCCCTGCTTGTGCGCTCTCTCTTAAATAAAATCATAAAACAATAACCAAAACCTAAATGTGCCTAAGCCACATGGAACAAAAGCACATTTTCTACACAGATCACATTTCAACACATGGCTGCTTTTTTAGCGTATCAACCCAAGAGCTGAGGACTTGTACCACAGGAAGTAGGTACTCTTCCATGTCCACTGTGCCCTCCTCCTCTCTCCACACCCAGTTACGGGCGCGGCTGCAAGCCCCTTATCAACCAGCAAAATGACCACCATGGCCATCTCCCACCGTGGACTGTGCTGGGTATAGGCACGGTACGGGCAAGCAGGGCCAGGATGGTCCTCTGACAGCCCACCTGGGAGCTAGGCTACAGCCGGAGCTGCTCTTCACCCTAAGGGTTATGGCCAATAGTTCAGCAACAGTCAAGGTCCCAGCCCCCGCTGCACACACAAGGACAATGTTATCCGTTTCTCTCCTTTCTCCTGGCTGAGCCCCTCTAGTTAGAGAGGACCTCTGTTCGTGCTGTGGTTCATTCATTTATGGCTCGAATTCCTGAAAACAGTGCTGTGTGGCAGGGGAAGTTCTGGCTTTCACACCCGTCGTAAGGCAGAGTGTTGGGTCCTTGTACTCATTCCTAAGGCAGGAAGGAGGAAGCAAGAGCCGGCTCCTCTGGGCAGCTCTGATGCTGGAAAATTCACTGCCCACACCAAAGGGAGATGCTCAGGCTCTCTCCATAAGCTCCGGAGGGCCACAGCTGACCGCCACCCCCCCAAAAAAAGCACCTGATACCCAAATTTCTGCACAGGCTCATGTAACATAGGGGACTTTTATTATTACTATTTTTAATGGAATTCATACAGCTATTGATTATACAGAGCCACTTCGCAGTACCTTTTTCTTTCCACTTCAGAAAATGAATACACCATGATGAGGAGAATGCTGAAACAAGATTGCTGGCTCATCACCTAGGGTACAGATAAACACTTAATTGTTTGACACTTTATTTTGCCTTTGTTGTACACAGCTGAAGCAGGAGCCCGGGGAGGGGAAGATGTGACCCCTGGTGTCCCATCTTGGTCTTGTTGTGGGAGGGCTAACCCATGTTCTGTCGGTTGCCATAGCCCCTAGGATGGGTGTCCTTCCAGTCATCCCACTCCCGAGCTCTGTGGAGAGCTTGTTCATCCTCCTCATCCTCCTCCTTTTGTTCCTGATCTTCCTGTTGCTGAGTACTTCTTTTGAGCTCTGCTGCAGTGGAAAAAACAAGAAAGCAGGGGTGAGAAACTGAGGAAATGTCAGGGGCCTCGGCTCCACTCTGAACACAGCAGCATAAAATGAGAACAAGGAAGGCAGCTGCCTGCCTACTCTGGGGCCAGCGGAGTCGTGAAGAATATTTAGATTATTTAATATATGACCTGTTAAATAATAGTTAAGAAACGATGCTCTGAGTGATCTTCACAATAAGGCCAAAGCATAAAAGTTGAATTTGCAGAATGATTTCTATTTTGGGAACGATCTTTTGCCAACAAAGGCCAAATAGCGCTGCCCCCCCCCTCCTGCCCCCCCACATACACACACAACAAAACACACCAAAGGCCCAACAGAACCCCAGCAAGCCAAAAAGACTCAAGTAAAAAATATTCAATGATTTAACGATTTGTGGTATGTCAGGAAGGAGGGACTGAGGGTGGCTTTCCTCCTCCATCCAGTTCCTTTATTACAGCTGTATTTTCTGAGCATGCGTGCATTTGTGTGTGTGCGTGTGTGTCAAACTGTAAATCACTGGGCAGTTGAACCTACTAGAAAAGAGTATATGTGCTCTTTGACACCTGTTTGGAACAGGGTCTGAAGTCCAAATGGCACTTGCTATGCAGCATACACCCCAAAAGAAATTAAACCAACTGCCACCCCCCTCATTTGCATTAATTTTGTTTTCCTGTTGTGACATAAAGGAGCATTTCCTGGCTACCCTGAGTTTGCCCATGAGAAAGAGTCTCATTACTATGATAAAAAATGAAACACATGGGGATCTGATCCCTTCCCACAGCTTACAAGCTTTGTGTTCCAAAACAAACAAACAAGCAAACAAACAAAAACAATTCTTATTGTAAAATAAAAGATACTGGAAACCACACAAAAATATACAGAATATAATTTTTTTAAGTTTTTTTAAAAAAGATTTTATTTATTTATTTGACAAGATCACAAGCAGGCAGAGAGGCAGGCAGAGAGAGAGGGGGAAGCAGGCTCCCCGCCAAGCAGAGAGCCCAACATGGGGCTCGATCCCAGTACCCTGGGACCATGACCTGAGGAGCTGAAGGCAGAGGCTTTAAACCACTGAGTCACCCAGACACCCCTGCGCCAACTTTTATAGTAGTAACTTCCTGCTGAAGTTTATTACAGCTTTATGACCCAAGTGTGTGTCCCTAGATGCCAGCGATGCTTTTTTTTTTAAGATTTTATTTTATTTGACAGACAGAGATCACAAGTAGACAGAGAGGCAGGCAGAGAGAGAGGAGGAAGCAGGCTCCCCGCTGAGCAGAGAGCCGGACTCAGGGCTCAATCCCAGGACCCTGGGATCATGACCCGAGCGGAAGGCAGAGGCTTTAACCCACTGAGCCACCCAGGCGCCCCATGTACCCCCCTTTTTTTTTAACTCAAGGATTTTTTAGTACAGACTTGTGAAACCATAACCAATGAAAAACAATTTCCATGACCCCCAAAAGCTCCCTTGTGCCCCGTACAGTTGATTCCCATTCCTTGCCTCCCCCTAGCCCCTGGCTGCCAGCAGGCTACCTTCTGTTTCTTATACACATGCCTATTCTAGAGATTAATAAGAGTATTAATGGAATCAAACAATATATGGTCTTTGCATCTGACATCTTTAACTGAGCAGAATGTTTTTAAGGTTAGTGTTGCTCATTTACAAATATTTTGATATCTTCTTAATCTACAGGCTCCAACCCTATCCCTTTCTTTCCTTGCAAATTATCTTATTGAAGAAACTGGAGCATTTGACCGTAGTGTTTCCCCAAATCTGGATCTTGCTGACTGCACAGTCATGCTGCAGTCCAAAGGGGTCTTCTGTATTTCTGCAGCCTGTCAAGTGGATACAGAGGCCTGATCTGACTCAGGGTCAGTCCCTTCGGCATGACTCTCACGGGGGCCTCATTCCCTCATCAGGTGGCGCGTGGCATCTGTGTCTCATGTGTTGTGATGTCAGTGGCTGCTGATGCTTGATGCCTGGATTCACTGATTTTCTGGGGTTTCAAAAAGTCCATACTCCTAATTTTCACATTTCTTTTTTTATTAACTAGAATGCTTTTCCAAAGAGTGGCTTCCCCTCATCTACTACTATGTAGTTACTCGGGGGTGGGGTGGGGGGGGAGAGACAAGATCGACACTTGATTCTTTCACTTTATTTACTACTTGTCAAGGTAATCAGTGGGTTCCTTATCCTCTGAAACTGAAGAGGTTTTGTTTTTAAATATAATTATGACTTATGGGTTTGATGGGTTTTAACCAACTGCAGTGATTTTCAAAAAAATACGTTTAAAATAACTTTTAAATTTTAGAATAGTTTTAAATTTATAGAAAAATTGAGAAGTTAGTGTGGAGTTCCTAGCTATACCCGGCTTTTCCTATTATTAGCATCTTAGACTACTTTTTTGCTCAAGTTTTACCCAGTGTCCTTTTTGGTTCCAGGCTCCCATCCAAAATGGGACTTGGTCTCAAGGACTCTGGTCCTTGGTCTCTTTAGTCTCCTCTTGGCTGGGACAATTTCTCGGACATTCCTTGTTTTTGAGGACCTGGGCAGTCTGGATGAGTACGCATCAGGTATTCTGCAGAATGTTCCTCAATTTAGGGCTGCTTGATGTTTTTCTCAGTTAGACCTGGGGTTATGGGCTTTGGAAGAGAGTATCATAGAGGCTGGAGTGCCCTTCTCATCACATCAAATCAAGGCAACACAACATCAACATCACTTCTCACTGCTGATGTTAACCTAGATCATCGGACTAGGGCAGTGTTTGTAAGGTTCGCAGCTGTGGAGTTAATTCTTCCCCCCTCCTCCCACACTGTTGTCTTTGGAAGCAAGTCACTAAACAGCCCACGCTTAAGGGGTGAGGAGTTATGCTGCACGTCCTTAGGACGGGAATATATACACAAATTATTTAGAATGTTTCTGTAGGCGAGCTTTGTCTCTTCTCCATTTATTTCTTTGATCATTTATTTCTTTCAGTATAAACCCATGGAGATTTATCTGACTTAAAAATTTTTTTTTAAGATTTTAATTGTTTGACAGAGAGAGACATAGTGAGAGAGGGCACACAAGAAGAGGGAGAGGAAGAGGGAGAAGCAGGTTTCCTGCCCAGCAGGGAGCCTGATGTGGGGCTTGATCCCAGGACCCTGGGATCATAACCTGAGCCAAAGGCAGACACTTAAGACTCAGCCACCCAGGCTCCCCTGAGTTTTTGTATTGTAATTCGATACTGCTATTCTCCTGCTCAAATTCTTCCAGTTTGGGCCAGCAAGAGTTCTTTCGGCCAGGCTGTATCCCATTAACAGACTTAGGGGGTTTTTCTTGGTTTTGGTTTTTAGTGCTTCTCTGTTTTCTAGTACTGAAAGATGCTTTGGGCTCATCTTGTGTATTCTCTGCCCCAGCCTAGAAGCAGCCATTTCCTTAAGGGGCCCTGGTTTTTTCTTTCTTTCTTTCTTTTTTTAATTAGAGAATGATACCAGAAACCCAGATGTGGGCTCTGAAAGTGCTCGTTGCTATTGACAATTAACCCTTTTTGAAGCCAAACTGTCTCTGGCCAGTGGAAACATTTTCAAATTGACTTCTGAGTCCTACTGCTACGACCCTAGTTACCTTCAAAAATTTCTTCCCTGTCTTTATAACAAGATGTTTCCAGCTCATCTTGTCTATTTCCTGCCCCAGACTTAGAACTAGCTATTTCTCTAATACATCCTGGTTTCTTTTAATGGGAATGGTATTTCAAGACCAAAAACTCTGTGTGTGTGTGTGTGTGTGTGTGTGTGTGTGTGTGTGTACTTTTCAATACAATTTCTCATGAGTTCCTATTCAGCACTACAGGTTTGTTTTATTTCTAACTTACATTTTTTTTTCATCTGTATTTGTCCACATGAAAAGTCTTACTTCTCAGAGACAGAGGATAGAATGAGAATAGCTCCTAACTGCTCAATTACCTCACGTTACACACAGTGTTGGAATAAAAGTGACATTTCCACCAATATAAATACTGAGAACAGTTTTTTTCTTGCACATGCTTTCCCCAATTCTCCATTTTTTAAAACACTGTTGTACTCTATCTACATTACCTGAGCACTGAGCAGATAAACATTACACTCTGCTCTCTCCCTTTTAACCCCTTCATTTAGTCTTAGTTCTACAAGTGACTAGTACCCACCACCAGCCCTTAGATGATATCTTTCTTATTATTTTGGGTGTCTGAAGCTCATTCTCTAGCAAATTCCTTAGGAGGGGATCATGGGAACAGTATTTCCTGAGCTCCTCTAGGTTGATAAATGTGTGCATCCTTTATACTCAATGGTCAGTTTTACCAGGGATCATGTCCTTGGCTCACATGCCCCACCCTGGGTATCTTAACTACATGTTACTCTACTTTCTTCTGCCATAAAGCATTGGTGGCACAAAAGTTGGAGGGTGATCTAGTTTTCTTTCCTTTATAAATCATCTGCTGTTTTTGCTGAAATGTCTGAGGCATTTTTTCTTCTTTAAAGTCTAGTAATTTTATGACAATGTGTCTTGTGGTTAGTCTCAGGTACACGGTGTGCTTTATCAGAGTAAATATTTTTTTTCCTTTTTTTTTTTTTTTAAGGTTCCAGGAAAGTTTCCTTAACATTTGTTTTTAGCATTTACTCTTTTTCCTTGGTTTGGTCTTGCTTTTCTTCTGTAGATAATCCTATCACCCAAAAGTCAGATCCTCTTTGCTATCTTTAATACTTGCCACTTTTTGAGTTGTGTTTATCTCTGCTGCTTTTTTATTTAAAACATTTTCCCTTTTACCTTAGCCAGGCATTTTCTGTAATGTTTACCCATTCTTGTTTTCTTCTGGTTTGGCTTTTACTTCTGAAATGATTCTTCTTTCTCCCACACTGCCACCACTTTTCTGTGTTTTATGAATCCTGCTTTATACTCTTCTTCATCCCTGTCTTACACAGTCTTCTTAATGCCCACCAACTAATTTTTAACAGTGTATATT